TCCTCCTCTCCTCCTCTCCTCTCCTCTCTCCTCCTCTCCTCCTCTCCTCTCCTCTCTCCTCCTCTCCTCCTCTCCTCTCTCCTCCTCTCCTCCTCTCCTCCTCTCCTCCTCTCCCGCTCTCCTCCTCATCATCACCTGATACTTCATGTACTCCTCCATGATCCTCAATACGGCCCCTCGTCCCCTTCACCCACCTGCGACACAACGATTTTAATTACTCAATAATTCCTCTTTGTACGGTACAATCCGACCAGCCGAGTCGGGCCGGCAAGCACGGCACAGCGGCAAGTCGGGCCCGGGGGCCCCGGCAACTTGAAGGCGGCGGAACTTCAAGCAAAAACGTAACTATCACAAGGCTTGTTCAACGAAGCTGACTCGTGATGTCCGATCAAGTTGTCTGCCGCCGACTCGAACGGTTGCCAATGTCTTGATTTGCCGAAGGCTTGGCCTTATTAACAACCTTCCGGGCGAGTCAGCGCGCGGCCCAGCCTTTACTCAAAGTTAAGTTAAAAATCAGTACGAGGACAATAATGAGCCTCGGAGAGTCGAGGAACCAGCCAGTCTGCCCTGCAGTCTGCCAGCCAGTCACCCAAGCCTGGTCTGGGAGGGGATGAGGGCCGGTGTGGAGGCAGGAGGCAAAAAGATGCGAGGTCATGTTGTCATAGCCCAGGCTCGTCGGGGATTCGAACCCCGGTCTAAAGATTCAGAGTCTTTTGTGCTAACCGCTACACCAACAAGCCAACCGAACCTCGCTGATGAGTACGGGGAAATGAGAGTATATATACCAGCATGCTGTCAAACACGGTATAGAGGGGAGCAGGCGGGGAGGGGGAGGATAGGCAGAGGAAGCATGGAGATGGAGGCAAGAGATGTTCCTGGTGCGACTCGTCTCCGAAGTGTTCTGACTCTACATGTTGGTCCTCCGTCCTTACAAGGTGCATGTGCGAAGTTGTGAGATTGGTTGAGGAGGTGCATGTTCAGAGGGAAATGGTTTGAAAAGAAGGTACATGCAGCAGAATCGCATATCAGAGCAAAACTCCATCCAGTACCGCTTCCCAGAAAGAGATCTCCCCACGTCGGTCCCCTTGTGCTGGGGAACGCAGGGATCTAGCGAAGAGTTCTTAGCCGCGGCATGCGGTACGGCCGTGCATTTCCTAGGCAAAAACGACTTGACGGAGGTGGGGGAGAGATTTTCCCGGCACGCCGCACAGATTCTTACTGTCGACATATGCCCTAGCAACGGTCTTGTATGCACTTCAGGCAAGGACAAGAAGCTGTGCGTGTATGACTCGAAGAAGGCTCAACTGGTGAAGATGGTCTATCCTCACCTGCACTGGATCGCCTCGGCCGCATGGTCTCCCAACGGTCATCTGATAGCCACTGGCAGCTACGACAACACGATCAAGGTCAATGATTGGAAGGCGATCTCGCAAGAGAGCAAGTGCCTGGTGGGGCATACGGACTACGTCACGGCGGTAAAGTGGAGGGAAGATGGGAGCGTGATCGTCTCGGGGTCGAGAGATGGCACAGTGCGGCTATGGGATGTCCACAAGGGGGAGGCTATACATCATCCTTTCCTTGGTTACAACCCGTGCAATGCTGGGATCGGCTATCAAGACATCAGCGATGGTCACACTCACACCGTTACGACTGTGACCTTTCAGGAGGATATGGTCGTCTCCTGTAGTCTGGACAAGACCATACGTGTGTGGGACGTCAAGTCTGGCAATCAAGTGAAGTTGTTGACAGCTCACAAGGGCCCAGTTGAAAGTCTGTCCTTCAGGGCGGATGGAAATGTGTTTGCTACGGCTGGAGGCATCGAGAAGAAGATTTTGTTCTGGGATGTGAGGACGTGGCAGCAGCTTGGGCACTCGTTGTTGCACTCGGTGTCAGTTCGAAACGTGTCTTGGAGCAGATCGGAGCTGAAGAAGTTGGCAGTTTCAGATGTCAACGGACATGTCTTCCTACTGGAAAGTGTAGAATAGAAACAATCTTGTTGATATCAATTTCCTTCCTGGTATCGTACATCTTCTGTGGGCTTGAAATCACCTTGTGATCAAGCAGCAGCGACGAAATTGAGAGCAACTCCGTTGATGCAATACCTGAACTTCATCTCAATATCTGCCTGGAAATATCGACGTGAACTTGTCAACACTTGTCACCTCTTGCCAGTTGGCACCTCCCAGATGATGCCATCATCGAAGACGTGCCCCTGCACGCATACGATCAGAAAAGTGACAACAAGTGACACAGCAAGGACCAGGTGTCCTCCGCACTTCACGCAGTGCACTTCTGTCCTCATTGCCAACATATCCATGTAGTTCCCTGGGCAGGACGTCAAATCTCCTTGACCTGAAATCCTTTGGCCCTGGGTACCTGTCTCCAACTCCACTCCTGGCAGCTTGTCGTAGAAGCTGGGCCACCCTGACATGTTTTCAGAATAAGAACAAAAGGATAGCAGTAGCCATTCTAGAATCACCTGTACCCGAGTTGAACTTGGTCTTCGATTCAAAGAGCTTGGTTCCACATCTGGCAAATCCTTTCAGTTGTACATATCCAGGTAACTGAATGTTGATCATACGCTGCGCAGCAATACGATCCTGCGCGCTTTTCTTGAAGCAACTCTGAGGTAAAGGGACGCTCCGTTGCTGCATCGTGCAGAACCGAATATGCAGCTTTCGACAACTTTCCACTCTTCACCTGACGCTGCGTTACTGGTCAATTCTGCTCGTGCAGCAAAAGTACCAACTCATTCCAATCAGATTCAGGCAGTTTCGGGCCAGCTTTCTCTGCAAAAGCAGCAGCAGGAATGAGGCAAGAACCGATCTGACGGCATCAAAGACTTCGGTCAGCTCGATCTCTCGCATTGCAAGGAGACTAAACAAACATACCAGACCGTCTCGGATAATCTTGCGCCTGGAAGTCTTCACGGACATCCTCTTCGTTGGGATTTCTTCATGATTATCATTCTTTGCCTTCATAGTGATGATCCGACTCTTAGAGTCTGCGCCGCGGGCATAACCTCTCTGCGCCCTCCAACTAATCGTGAAAGAACTTGTGGGGGTAAGAAATGCATCCACTGCCTTGACCAAAAGGAGAAGAGTAAGCGTGATCACTTGGGCTCCGAGAACTTTCATTGTGTTGTATGCCTGTCATACCATAGTTTCACATCAGCATTCCAGTAACAAAATATCGCGTTGTTCGCCTGATTTCACCTCGCACAGGACACCTCAATATCAAATTCAGCTGTTCTAGTCCCAATATCGCCCCTCCAATCTCACCCTTTCTGTTCTATTTGTTCTCAGAGTCTCTTTCCTATCTTTAAACTTTCGTTTCTTCCTCATCATGTCGTCCATCCGAATGGTTTTATATGAGACGTGATGGAATGGGGCAGCAATCTTTTCCTCCCTTCTCCCTCTTTACAATTTCTGCTGTCCCTTTGACCTGATTTTAAGATGTTCTACCCCCTCGGAGGTTTTGAGGGTACTCGTTGTACACCATTCCACCCTACCCCTACAGTGGATTGAAGATTTGGCCCAACCTCACCATCTTAATTGCAGAAACAAGGGGTAGTGATGTAGAGGGTTAGTACCCCAACCCCTGATTTTGGATAAACTACCCTACCCCGAACACCTAGAACAACCCCACCCCATAATTTGAAGAAGTGATGATTCACCGCCAGAGAAACTTCTACTTACCCCACCCCCGGTTCGAACTTGAGATCACCCCACCCACTAATTACATCTAAAAATTGCAAATGGTACCCCTATGTAGACTACCAGTACCCCCAAGAAAAAACTACCCTACCATCTTTCAGAACCCTATCTTTGACGAATAAAGACCCCTACCCCCCCAAACCTCATTCTAACGAGGATTCGTGTCCTTCCTGCCGTCCGCCTTCCTTCCCCCTCCTCTCCCTCCTCCTCCCCTCCCTCCTCCTCGTTACCAACAGCCCCTTCTTTCCCTTGCCCTCTGGCTTGGCCTTGTTGGGCCTTGCTCTTCTCCTCGAAGCCCTGAGCATTGTACCTCTGCTGTGAGCGTTGGAATTCAAAATGCTGTCTCGTGCCCTTTTGCGCGCCGGCAGCGCAACCAAGCGAGGGGCGAGCCAACTTCACTTGCGCGGGTTTGGTACGTGGAGCCACAATCCATGCACCAAGAGCCTCTCTTCTGCTGGCGTGCCTCCTCCTGCAGCACGCTGGGGGCAACCTGAGCTCTTGAAGCACATGCAACCGCTAGAAAAATATGCGGCCTGGTCTGAAGCGTTGAAACAAGCACCCGTCATTCCAACTCTGCTAGGATCCAAACCTCTTATCTTCATTCCAGACATGGAAAGACCATCTGAGAACATGAACGCTTCTATTTCTCTTGCGGGACAGACATATCTGGTCTCCCCGACAGCTGCAGGTGTGAGTGAGCCAAACTGGGACACGGAAGGCATGTTTGCCTCCAGCGTTCTCAAGAAAAGGAGGAAGAAGATGAACAAACACAAATGGAAGAAGAGGAGGAGGCTCAATCGATCATATTCGAGATAAGCTCCGGATATTCTTTGTGGTTTATTGCCATTTGCTCATGGATTTATCGATGTTACCACCTGCGCTTCTTGTTCTGCTGGGTGGAGACCATGTTTTGTTAGGATTTCATGCAGCAGAAGGGAATCAACCTGAAATGACTGGCGACTTGTCTCCTGGAAACGATCTCTTCCAGGAGGAGCCCTGCTCTGCGGCCGTGGCGATCCCCTGCTGGCAAAGCGAGGGCTTCCCCTGCTTGGAGAGGGTTGGGCTGGCTTTGGAGGATTCGTATTGTGCCGAGCAATGGTCGGTGGCGGTCTGCTTCTTCTCTGCAGGAATGCATCCCGTGAATCGTTGCGCACACTAGAAGAATGAAGATTGATGCCTGTGCTGCGAGTTTCTCCATTTCCACTTGTAGCTCCTGCTTCACCTTCACCTGTTGATGCCCTCTCTTAGCCCTGCAGCGTTCAAGTCGTGACCAATCACCTCATTCGCCTCCTCCTCGATCTCCCTCGCCTTGCAAAACTCATAAAACTGCCACGAAAACTTCAGAAAGAAATCGGTCGGTCTACCAAAACCGTCTTGCCGGGGTGTCGTTTCTGGAATTGTTTCTGAGGAAAGCAATCAGCGAGATCCTGTATCTTTGTGTCAAGACGACGCGATAGACAGTGTGCCTTTAGACCGATCGGTTCCGTTGAAAGCTGGTAGCCGCTCCCAGGTTTCCTTTGCTCACGATTAGTCTCCGCAAGAAGAGAATCCTCTCAGAAACTTGCAACACCGGCTTATCACCCAGACTCTTAGGCTCTCACTCACCCCTTGGACAGAGCCCTCGGTCGACTCAGAGGAATCTGATGTGTTCCATGCGCTATCTGTGACATTGCCGTCTGGTTCCGGCATGGGGGGCAGGTCTTCCAGGTCTTCGATGAGTTCTGATCCCTGTGAGCTGTCAGAATCGTTGGCGATGAACCTGATGATCGGGGGTTTGCATGTGAGCTGTAAAGCACGCATAACTCGCCTAAAACAAGATTCTCAAACGATTACATCTATCAGCGGCTCGAAGTCCTCTTCAGGCTCTGATTGAGGTTTCTGCTTATTTGCTTTCGTGTCTGCATCTTTCTTCGATTTTGATTTTTTCACATCCGGTTCCTTAGAGTCTTGTTTTGACTTCTTGGATCCTTTCTCCTTCCTGCAGATCGTTGATAGTATCAGGATGAGAAATACAAAAAAGGATGTTACCCTTTCCCTCCTCCTCTAAGGGAAAGAAAGATGCATCCTTCTAGCCTCTTGAGATCGCAATGGAGAGCATCTGGAAGTGTGTTGACGTGTACATGTCGTCTTCTCAGCCCTTGCCCAGCTAAAAGCAGGGAATTGGTTGGTGCAGCTCCTCCAAATCCCGAAATTAAGTTTGTGAAAGAAATGACAAAGATGAGGTTCGAGACGGAAGTCTTCGGCATCGTCATTATGCTCTTCATACTTTTGATCATAACCAAAGAAGTTTTGCTGTGGTTGTTTTGGGTGAATCTCCTTAGAATCAGCCAGGCATCGCCTGTTGTCCCTTTTTTCAGTTGGCCCTCCTCTCCCCCCTCGCTCTTCTCTTCGCTCCTCGCTTCTACTTTCCCGTGTTCGTCTCTCTGCTTCCTCCTTTCCCTCCTACCTCAGAAGCTCTGCCCCTCTCTTACTTCTCGATCAAGCTGTTCCACTGCTCAATGTTTGCATAATCAGGAGCCGGATCAGAATGGAAGGGGTGGTGTAGAATTCATGGGGTAAAGTACCCACTAAATAACAAAATATTGTACTATAATTGAGGGGTGGTGATTCAAAGTGATGGGTACAGGCAATCCTGGGGACAAGGGAAAGGGGAACAACGGCATGGCTACTGAAATGTCTTCTTTCCTCTCACCCTGCCCCGCTTGCTTGCTCCTGCCAGCTCTCTCTTCTCCGTCATCTTTCCTGGACCATATGTGACATTCTCTCCTCCTCTTGACGCTAGCTGTCTTCTCTGCTCTCCCATCTCTATGCCTCCCTCCAGAGCGCTTCCAGCTTTCACTTTCAGTACTGACGATTCTGCTTGCTCCCCTCCCCTCCAGCTTACTCCCTTGCACTCACCATCTTTCTCTCGTTTTCTCCTCTTATCTTGCAGTCATGTATGCTTCCCTCTCTGTCTTTCACTCAGCCCGTCGCCTTTCTCTTAATCCTTGACCTTACAATATCATTTGACGTCTTTCCTTGTATCGACCCACTCGTTTCTGCTCGCTGCGATGGAAAATTCGTTTCGTCCTGATGTGAATTCCGATGTGATATCAACAATGACCTGCAATCCCTCCCTCCCTCCTGCACGCTCTGCAAGATTTGGCTGCGGAATCTACCTCCTGTGTGCAAAGCAAACCTCACTGACGATTTTGTTGGACCTGAACAGTTGCTTGAGGAGCAGACCGCGCATGGATGTGGAGGCAAAATCAACCAAAGAAATCAGAAATCAAGTTCAAGAGCTTGCTCTCCAACACCATCCACGAGGTGCCCTCCACCCACAGCGCTGCTGGCGTTGGGAATGTCGTGCGGAGACTGAGAACTTGTCGCAATGTTTCTGTAGGTTTGCACGAAGCGACCAGGATGGAAAGAAACAGGTTGATGGACGTGATCGACTGATGGTAACTGATGCAGTTTGACGGCAGATCGCGATGACTGGGATTTCATCTGGGCAGATAAAGTTGTGCTGAGGTTCCCGCACTATACTTTGACGACAGTGCAGGATTGGATTAGGATGCATTTCGACGAGATGAGGAGCCAGTTGTCTAACACTGCAAGGTTTGACCCCAGTTCACATGTTCACAGATACCTGAATGTCTTTGGAAAAACTTTCTGCAGGGTGAATCATTTTCGGAACCATTATGAGTTGACCCGGAAGGCATTTCCTATTCTGTCTGAGAGGATCTGGTTTGACATGTTGAATCAAGGACCACATGGTGAAGAATTTCAAGCGCATGATATCAAGTTTGAGAAGGTAGAGCAGCCATGACACACTCACCTTGTTCGGCCCTACCCTTGACCTCATTGCAGAGAGGATCGCGCGAGCGAAGCGGCTCAGTACGACTTCTTCCCTGTATGGCTGAACCCCGTTGCATAATCTCGATGATCGTATCTCTATCATCACCATCATCACCACCACCACCATGATCAACAAAAACACATCATCCGATCTCTTCGGCATCAACCAGCATCAGCAACTTCATGATTCTACTAGAACCGAACACATCCAAGACATAGTAATCCGTCATGTCTAAGAAGTTCGATTTCAGGTCACCTACCTGCTACCTCAAGACTATGGTGTCTTCGTGGAAGATTTCAAACGACAAGTCTGACAAAGACGTGTGGAATTGATGTCGATCTTGACAATGCTTGCAGTCTGATCGCCCAATCTGGATTGCCAAACCCACCGGAAAAGCGCAAGGGCGAGGAATTTTTCTTTTCACGGAGTTGAAGGATGTATGTTGATACATTGACTGATGGAAATATGTGCTTACGTGGTTTATATAGGTGAAGTTATGGAAGAAGGCCGCAGAAAACAGGTAGGGAGAGGAAACCAGGCATGGACTCAGCGATTCCGATGTTGATCGATAAACAGGGGGAATCCCAAGCAGGATGATGAGGAAGACGTAGAAAATTATGTTGTGCAGGTGCAGATTTGGGGGGTGGGGAATTCATGTCCGTAAAAACATCAAACAGCGTTACATCACGAATCCTTACCTGGTCGGAGGCAAGAAGTTTGATCTAAGGATTTACGTGAGCAAAGTCAAGGTTAAAAAGTTGACAAGGCTCAAGGTTGCGCCTTGCAGGTGCTCGTCACTTCCTATATGCCTCTCACCGTCTGGCTCTATCGAAGTGGATTCGCGAGATTCAGCGGATTCCGGTGGCTCTCATGAAACCCGCCGGAGGCTGCTCATGCCGTTTGCAGGTACAACGGAGCAAGGAACCAGCTCAAGGACACTCATCTTCATCTTACAAACGTCACTCGTCCACCTCACAAGCTTGAGATCTCTTGACGGAGAGTATCCAGGTCGCCGTCCAGAAGACAGCTCCCGGCTACGACAGAGAGGTCCAACTCTCTCCCTCCTCTCCTACTTGCATTCCTCCTCTTCCAGCTTGCGTGACAAGCTGGTAAGGCGGGATGTAAGTGGTTAATCGACTGCCTCAAGCGCTACATGGTCAGCGTTCATGGGCAAGTGAGTGTCATCGTTGTTGTTCCTGTTCCTCCCCGTCCCCCTGGTTTCAGCCCCATTCCTACTTTACTCTCCGTCTCTCCCGTTTTCCCTCCACTACTCTCTCCTATCTTCCTCCGTTCTCGTCCCCCATCCTGTGCTCTCTTGGCATCCCCCTTCCTGTACTCCCTCCTCTTCTCCTTCTCCCTCCCTCGCTCCTCCTTGCCTGCTCGAGTGATTTCTTGTGCAAGGATGCCATCAACCAGCTCTTCTACGAGATCCAGTCCCTCATCATCCGATCGCTCCAGGCTGTGCAGGTCAGAGGTTTCCCCGCCTGCTCCATAGCTCTCACCCGTAACGACTCAGAAAGTGATCATGAACGACAAACATTGCTTCGAGCTCTACGGCTACGACATAATGCTCGATGACACGCTCAAGCCCTGGCTGGTGCTTGAGTTCCCTTCCTCTCGCTCCCTCCTGCTCCTCGTGTCCTTGAGTTCCCTTCCTCTCGCTCCCTCCTGCTCCTCGTGTCCTTGAGTTCCCTTCCTCTCGCTCCCTCCTGCTCCTCGTGTCCTTGAGTTCCCTTCCTCTCGCTCCCTCCTGCTCCTCGTGTCCTTGAGTTCCCTTCCTCTCGCTCCCTCCTGCTCCTCGTGTCCTTGAGAGCCCCTTTACCCCTCCTGCTCCGACATGCGCTCAGGCTTTCTTGCTCACAGCTCGAGGTCAACGCTTCTCCATCTTTGACAGCAGACACAGCGTCCGACCATGAGGTAACCCGATGCCTGAGCAAGCGCCCTTGCTCGCCTTCCTCTCCCCCTGCTTCTCTCCTCCCGTCACCTCATTCTCCTTCGATGCTCCCCTCATCCGTCCTCCCAGCTCAAGTGTGGAATGCTGGATGACCTCCTGGATGTGATCGACCTGGAGGAGCGAAGGACAGGAGACGAGGTCCCCTACTCTGATGTCTGCCGCCTGCTCCTTCTCACCTGCCACCCACCTCAGATCCAAGTCGGGGGGTTTGACCTGATCTTCAACGGCAGTGTGGTGAAGCCACCACGCCCGACGTCTGTGCAGAGCTTTCTTGGTTGCAACAACGACAGGACCGAGGTACGTCATCACTACCATCATCAATATAATCATCATCATCATCATCATCATCATCATCATCACTACCATCACCACAATCTGACATCATCATCGTCGTCGTCGTCGTCGTCATCATCATCATCATCATCATTACCATCATCATCACTGATAGTATCATCATCATGAATCATCAACGTCATCACTACCATCATCATAATCATTATAATCATCACTACCATCATCACTACCATCATCATGGCATCCGAGTCTCCGACATTCAGATTTTGGCCGCTCAGGTGAAACAGAAGGCCATGCGAGATTTCCTGAAGCGATCAGCACAAGCGAACAAGTGAAGAAGATGTACACAAACACGATGATTGATTGCTTTCTTCCTTTAATGCAAATTAAACACACTTCATCCAGAGGGCCTGAGTCTCCTGAGCGGGCCCTGCCAGAGTCACGGTCCCGGCAGCGGGAGTCCCGGCCCGCGGCGGCGCCCGGCACACTGGCTGGCCAATCAGACGCATCCGAGCCGGGCAGCCATTCATGATTGCGGCCCGGGGCCCCAGACTCGTGTGACTGGCGGCGAGCCCGGCCACACCCAGCTAGTTCAACCGGGCCCGAGCCCAAGCCGGGCGGCCGGCCCGGCCCGCTCAGTCGGTCCAACCGTACGGTACAGTCGTAGTACGGGCTAGTACGGTGCGGGCCGCGCTCGCCTCGAACTTTGAAACTTTATAGTATTTCCCATTTCGGGGGCATGCCCAAGTTTGGTAGTTGTAAAACTTCCCGATATAGGAGAAGCTATTTTCGGCAATATGGCTGGAGGAAGGGGAGGGGAAGGGATGGTGGAGGAAGGGAAGCGGCGCACTCAGAGGCAAATGAGCAAGCCGAGCTCCTTCCGACTTCTTCGGTCTCTTGCTCTCCTCGGAGCTCTGAGTGGAACAGGTTCGTTTTGTGGTTTCTATGCTTCGGTTTCACAGTGTGGCAAATGATGAGAAAATGAAAACTTTCTTGAAAATTTGCTTTCAACCTGTTCCATGTTCTGATCGGTGCAAGTCCTGTATGAATTCATTGTTGTACCCTCATGCTTTTCCCTGTTTGATCAAGTATTCTAACGCTCGTCCACAGTGGCGCAGCTGATGATCGGCTATCACAACAACAACAAGAAGTTTTTCCACCCAACCACCAGCAGCACCTTCAAGCTTGTGAAGCTTGGCAACGTGAATGTTACATTCTTGGACAAGACAAACCTCCTTGGCTACGATGGGCAGGACATGGCACAGTTGGGGAAGTATCGGGTTGAAACGCGTCTGGGTATGATTACACATTGCAACAGCGCCAACTTCAACGACGTTGACGGTATCATCGGGTTTGGCTGGGCGAATCAGAACAGAAGTGCGGCCATCTTGAAGACCCTGACGACCAAGTCAAGACCTCATTGGGACATCGTTCAACGTCAGGACTTCGTCCCTATGCCCAGGAAGTTTGCGTTCACTGCTGATGACAGCATTGGTGAGCTACAGCTTGGCGGATATGAGCCAGACTCCGTAGCCGAGCCAATGCAGATGTTCCCCATGGCTGGGTATGCTTATGGAGTGAACGTCACTTCCATCAAGTTCGGTAACGTCGAGCTGTTGGATTTCATGGGGAACCACCACGCATACGTGGGCGAGTTCGATTCCGGCACGACTTGCTTGCTGATTCCCAACTCGACTGTCAACGGAACTTTCAAGCGAAATCCGTTTGAGATCTTGCTGAATGAGCAGAACAAGGGTGGGACCTTCCCGCTCGTCTACACCATTGGGGGGGAAACGTTTGAGATCGCATATGAGGAGTGTGTAGAGCCCGCCGAGACTGCGATGATCCTGGGAGACCCTTGGTTCCGAAAGTGGATTGTCTTGCACGACCTTGTCGATCTTAAGGACAAGAAGATGGGATTGGCGCTCCGCAACCCCAGCTACAAGCTGGGAGTCGAGACGGACTCGTCAGCGACCCTATCTCAACATTCCCAGTATCGTGCCAACAAGGGGCGGAGCCAGGAGCTTGCAGAGTTCAATCCCTTGTCCAAGGTGCGGGCCCACAGGCGTATCACGAGCGCCAAGTCAGCGTTGACTATGGGGCTGTACCAAGGTCAAGCCGTGGACAAGGTGGCGCTGGAGTCACAGAGCAGAGTCACCTACAACATCAAGCTGTCCATCGGCACTCCGCCTCAGCCGTTGCAAGTGATCTTCGATACAGGCTCCTTCATGTTGGCCGTCTTTGCTGATCCTGCGCCGGAGGGGATGAAGCCCATCTTGGATGCGCAAGTTGGGAGCTATGAGGATAGTGAGTCGCCATGGGGGCAAATTTCGCAAGAGCTTTCATGGAGAATTCAGGGGCTAAATCGAACAGCACTGATTGGCGCCAACGTAAACTGAAATTTCTCGATTTGGTTACTCTGACACTCTTGTGCAGTTGATCTTTATCGCTCTGATAGTCGGAGCTGTCTTTAGCCTGATGAGCCGAAGAAGATCTCAAGAAAAGTACCAGGAGCTGCATCAACTGGAAGAAATGGTAAAGTGACCATTTCTTGCTTCTGTGATGGTCTAAATGTGACGAGGACAGGGCGTTGAAAGTGACGGGTGGACTGAATGAAGGTAATCAAGGGCATTTTTGAAAATGAAATCAAAGAAACTTTATCCATGTGTCGACAAGGCAGCACCATAGAGGAAGACATTCAAGGGTTTATTGTGGCAATGTGGAAAGGGTTTTCCTTGCGAGAGAGCGAGAGCAGTGTCTCGTAAAGGAACGAAGAGAGGGCCGAGACTGGAACCGACATGAAGATCTTAGGGGCCAGCCCCTTACCCAGCGATCGGAGCCCTTCTCTTCTGACCATGTCTACCAGGGTCTTCACTATAGAGGTTGACTGCTCCACCTTAGTCTGTATGCGGACCTTGACTATGTCCAGCGGGTTGGTCAGGGTCGAGCTGATCACTCCGGCCGACATCCCGGCCATAACGTTGAGGGCTTTGTCGTCGACTGTCTGCATGCGAGTGTTGAGCATCTTCTTGGTATGCTCGTAGCTTGCCCACCAGATCGCTCCTTGAGGAACGAAGAGCAGCAGGTGCACGTCCGTCCCCCGCCAGAACCCCGTTATCCCATCCTCTAACCAGATCTTCCTTGCAACCTCCAGGGAGCTCAGCGAGCTCGGCCCCTTCGTCCTCGCTAGCCCAGCCACCGGGCTCAAGCCGCAGCGCCATCCTGCAGCATGACCAAGGGGCTCGATCTGGATCTTCTGTACGATCACGTCGATGGGAACCCACATGGCGCAGGTGACAGTCTCCGCCAACGCTCCAGCACACAGCGGGACCAGGGGAGAATCTCTGAGCTCGGGCCCCACGCGTCTCTCCAGAGCATCCTTGCTCCAACCGTACGTGCTCAGGAAGAAGAGCTGTGCAGGGATGGTCGACACTGTGCTGAAGACGACTCCCTTGTAGAACCCTCGTATCCTCTCGGCTCGATAGACGTCCTGGCAAAGATGCAGGAGCTCGCGGAGGAATGGCCGGTTGGGCTGCAGATCTACTTGCAACTTCGTCTTCAAGATCTGAGAGGGATATGTGCACATCTGTTCGAAACCGTAGAGGACCGTCCCATAACCCAGGAAGTGAGGAAAGGACTGGCTTTCCCAGTACGTCGAATGTTTCTGTGGCTGGGCGATGTCGGTAGCAAACGTCAATGGGGTGGAAAGTGTTCGTTCTAACATTCTCAGAAAACCAGCCCCAGTCACTGAATATTCTCCTTCTCTTTGTCCTCCTCCTCAGAAGTCGGAGGTCAGCTTAATGATAGGTTATATTAAGTTTCCGGGGTTCTGTTTCATGATAGAGCTCGTAGATTGCTCTCGCCATCCTAGAGGAAGCACAACATCAGTCAGGGTACAGATAGTGCATGAAGATGCAGCACATGCTTCAAGGAACTTAATGTACCTCCGAGGGTACCACCTCTCCCGGCTTTCTCGTAACAACAGCTTACTTCTGGCATTGCATGCACTATCTCCATCTCAACAACACACTCTCCCTCCGATGATCATGTGCGTCAAATCCTCCATCTCATATCTCTCCCTTCCTCTCTCTCCCTGGCATCTTTCGCGCTCTCTCGCTCTTCCATGGCTGCCCCACAGGCTGGCAGCGACATAGCGCAAGTGGGGGAAACAGTCGGGGAAGATTTCAGAGGATGTAAGGAAATGAGGGGGTAGGGGTATTGACAATATCGCTGACTACGGGTGGTGGTCTTGAAGGTATCCATATTCAGGGTACTTTTTAAGTCAAATGAGAGGGTGTTTAAAGTTCAAGGGCCCAGGGGGGTGGGATATGATCAATTGGGTGGGGTATAGGGTCACCGGGTGGGCAGGGAAACAAATGGGACAGAAGTGGTTGGGTCTAGTAAGCCTGCCTCATTAGAGGATCAAATTTGTCAAAATTTGTAAATATTCCGAAACATTTTCAAATTTACAATGAAAGGTCAGAAATATATATTCATGGCTAGGTCCAACTTTGAGTAAAAGTTGAGGCCAGTGATCTAGCGGCGGCCTGGCGGCCCCCGGGCCCGGAAAAAGATTGACTAGTGACAATCAGGACAGTGCGACGCCATCGCGACCGTTCCCAATCGATCGACAAGCCTGAAGGGCCGAGAGACAGAGTGAGTGAGTAAGACAGAGAGAGGGAGGAAGAGATAGAGATCAGATCGGACAGGCACAGACATAGGATCATATGACTGATCGGAGCACCTGAGACGCCAGGAGGTGATAGAGTCAGACCATCGAACGGTTCAGGGGCCCAAGTGGGAGAGATGGGCAGTCACTGCATGTACGAGTGATTTTAATGTTCTTGCTCCTCCATGCCATGGATCGTGACTCATCGCAACTAGTCACCGGGTGACAACTGCAATTCGTTGTTTGATGATTTGTTTATCCAGGTGGATTATGAAGATCATGCTACTGTCTCCTTAGTGCCCTCGGGATGGGTCAGACGAATTCAGACCTCCGACTGGGAGATCCTGAGGCTTTCCAATGGAACAATACTATAAACCTAACGAGCAACGACAGCATCTTCAGCTTCCTCAAGAATAAGAACCAGGACGGAGAGCAACCGTCCGATGCCGGAGCTCGTGACCAGGTCACACAAAGGCAACGAATCGAGAATGCATTCGGGGGGCTGGGAGGAAAGCAAGTGCAGGGTTTTGAGTTTGGTAGGACGCCGTCGTACGAAGTGTACACTCAAGTGATCAAGTCAAGCGATGAGGCGGATAAAGAGCTTGAGAACGGAGATCAATTCTACCGCCAAGGGAATTACGGAGAGGCAAGGAAGGCTTACACGATAGCAAGGGAGCTCTATAGGGACAGGAAAGCCGACAACCTGAAGATGGCTGAGGTGGAAGGGAAGATCAGGTCTTGCCTTCCGCTCTCCAGGCTAGTGGACCGGTACGTACTCTAGCAGTGATCTATCCTCAACTTTGCTCATCTTCCTCGATTGCATTCATTGATTCTGACTGCCTTAGGAACGGGAAAATACTGCCGGCCGCATCAGACCATTTCCTTGAAGCCCAGATTCAGAAGTATGAGCACCTGCACTTCGTGTCCCCCGGCAAGGATATCGTGGAGCAAGGGCCTCTCAGGCACACTGAGAATCTCTTTTACCGACACCTGAATGACACGCCCGGGTGGCATGAAGGAGGGAGATACTACAACTTCAGGGGCCGAAAGGTGAGCGCCTCCTTTTCTCCTTCCAACCTGCCTCACCTCCAACTAAGATCTTGTCTCTACCCGTAGCTGCTTCTCCCTCCCTCTCCATCCCCTCTCACGTCCTTTCCTCGTCTGTGCGCTTCCTTGTTCATACCATCCTTCTCCCTCCTCCTGCATTCTAGTCCCTTCTGACCCTGGCTCCCTGATATCAGAATACCGACGGGGAACCGATTCAGTTGGAGATGTTGATGTCAGAGTTTCAAGACCGCGAGAGCATCGAGGCCACAAAAAAGAGGAACAAGTTCAAGGACATCCACGAGGAGACTACGAAACTCCTGAGAAAGAGGGAGAAGCAGCGCACGCAAGGAGTGCTCCCTCGACAGTTCGAGCAGCTCGTGGAGGAGGCGCAGGAGGAGTTCGAGCGAAAGAGGACGGCAGACGAGGCCTTGGAGAGGAAAGGAAAACACATCCCGGACAGAGAGACCTTGCTGAAACAAACGAGATACCTGAGGAACGAGGAGCTTGGAGAGCTGTCTAAGCTGCTCTCCAAGACAGACCCCAACTTCCGCTCCGTCATCTTCGATCGAGCCGGGGCCCTCAGGTCGTTGGAGGAGAAGATGTGAAACCAAGACAAGGATCAGTGTGCCGGGTTTTCAATGAAGAAAGGGTTCAGAAGGATCAGGGGCGATAGTAGGAGCGTTCATCCTGCCTCCTCCTCACGTTGGTCGCGGTCGGACGTTTATTTGGCAGAGCACCTGCGATGGCTGGGAGCGACAAAGATCTCCGGTCAGATCGCAGAGGCGGAGGGCCAAGTTTCGACCTGATAGTCGTCCGGGTTCGGCCGGTAGGTCGGGTCGATGAAGTAGCTCACCCAGTCCACCAGCATCCCGCAAGACTCCAAATAGACAGCTGGGCAAACCGCATCAGCTTCTTTCAGTGGGCAAACCATGGAACTCCTCGTTCCTCCTACACTCCCCATCCCACTTTCCCCTCCCAATCACCCGTCTACTTCCAGCTTCTACTTCTCTTTGCTCACCCAGCATGTTCTCGATCACATCCGGCTTAAACCCAGTCCCCTCCCCCCCAAGCTGAAGATTCGCCTGCAACGTGACCGGCTTGTCGATCGTCACCTGAACGCGCGTCAACTTCACTCCCCAGCTTGTCAAACTTCCATTACCGTCAGCGTGGTGGGAGGGCTGTCGGACTTCCAGTACTTGACGTCAAAGTCTCCGACCTCCACGTTAGAGGCTTCGAGGAAACCAGTCGACTTGAGCAGAGCCAGGAGGGAACTACAGCCTTGAAAGGCTTTCTCTGGCCCTTCCTCCACCGAGTTGTAGAAAACGGCAGAGGCCCCCTGTCTGGTCAGCTGCTCGAGCATCCGCTTTGCCACCTGTCGCTGGAACACTCTCCTCTCCTCGTTGGATGGCAAGATCCTCGCAAGCGACTTCCAAACCAGGTAGGAGTCGAAGTCCAACGAGTACTGGTCTGTCAGGTCGGAGGGGTCGAAGGAGACCCGCTTCTGGAACAGTGACAGGACCAGCTCTCGATCGCTGTCGACGGAGGCGTCTAGCTCCTGCACCTTCCTGCCCGTCATCTCGACAAACACCTGACGGGGAATGGAGTGTAAAGCTTCTGCCAGTTCCCTGTCGACCTTCCTTGCTGGGCTGATTTCAACTTTGGTCATCTCTGGACAGAATTTGCCTGTGGCGGAGCAGATGTAAACCCAGAAGTCAAGCTCTGCTGCTCCCCAGACCTTTGTGGTTGTTGCAGCGTTCGCGTCCTGCCTCAAGAGAACGGTGGACGATACCAGTGCCCCAAGAACCACCTGCAGCAGTCGCCTCCTGCTCACAGGGTCACTTGTTCCTTGCATCCTGCATTCGAGCCTTGATCCCCTTGAGCTGCACCTGTGCCTCGTCCTGTCGATGATTGAGCATCCTCGCATGAGTGTGAGCCTGTCGAGCGCGGAAGGTTGAGGGATGAGAGACAGGCTAGGAGCCGGTCCCTGCAACTGAAGCATGGCTGCCGCGCGCTAGAACGAAGACCTCACTCCTGCTCTTGTCGTCTGCTCTCTGATCTTCCTGTTCACTGCCTGCAACGCTCCCTCCTGCCCTCGCTCCCTCCTTGCCTTCCTGCTTATATGGATATCGGGTGGGCCTCATCCCTCCTATGACCCTGCGGTCAAAACGAAATGAAGCGTCACCGGACTCAACAGCGTTAGAAGAACGGGGAGGAGAGGGATGGGAACGGAGAAGGACAGAGCAGGGCAGGGCAGACAAACAGGGCAGGACAGGGCAGGGCAGGGCAGGACAGGACAGGACAGGACAGGACAGGACAGGACAGGACGAGGACGAGGACGAGGACGAGGACAGGGCAGGACAGGACAGGACAGGACAGGACAGGACAGGACAGGACAGGACAGGGCAGGGCAGGGCAGGACAGGACAGGACAGGACAGGACAGGACAGGACAGGACAGGGCAGGACAGGGCAGGCCAGGACAAGACAGGACAGGACAGGACAGGACAGGACAGGACAGGACAGGACAGGACAGGACAGGACAGGACAGGACAGGACAGGACAGGACAGGACAGGACAGGACAGGGCAGGGCAGGTCAGGTCAGGTCAGGGCAGGACAGGACAGGACAGGGCAGGACAGGACAGGACAGGACAGGCCAGGACAGGACAGGACAGGACAGGCCAGGCCAGGCCAGGCCAGGACAGGCCAGGACAGGACAGGACAGGACAGGGCAGGGCAGGACAGGACAGGGCAGGACAGGACAGGACAGGACAGGACAGGACAGGACAGGACAGGACAGGACAGGACAGGACAGGACAGGCCAGGGCAGGACAGGACAGGACAGGACAGGCCAGGACAGGACAGGACAGGACAGGACAGGACAGGACAGGACAGGCCAGGACAGGACAGGACAGGACAGGACAGGACA